ACGATCGGCACATCAATTTCATGATCATTTCGAACATGATTAGGGCCTTCAAGCCCGTGATTTTCACTTCTTGTTATAGCTATAAATAAAACAGTGGATACATTTTTTTGTGTTATTTTCCTCGGGTTTAGGGAATAGAAAAAGTATGTAGATATACATTTTTCCGGTCATTATCTTATTTCCTGGTTGTTATTCTCCTTGTAACGCTAAAGTTATGGAAGAAGAAGTGGCGATTGAACGAGTGAAGTCGGGTGATTTTTCAATTGAAGCCTTAAGCAGAACAAAAAATCAGCCTTCAATTACCTTTAAACCTACGCCATTCCTGTGCATTGAAGTGAGAGCCAATCGGCCGAATTCAGCTGTTTCTGTTTCATTGCTTGAAGCATCCAATGGGATTTCCTCAAAATCTACTGGAACGTGCGCCACCTTGAAGACGTCCTTCACGTAGGCCATTAACTTAGGACCGGGCGCAGCTCCTAAAAGTCGCCTAGTTTTGCGCCTATTTATTAAGCCAAATAGTTCCTCACCTGGTAGCAATGTTACTATGTACTTTCCTCCATACTTCACGCGTTGTCGCTGATCTTCCCGAGGAATGATCTTCGTTTTGGGTATGATTTTGCCTTCGAAGATATCGGCCGGCAGTACGGTGTGATGCCATTTCGCGTAGTTTCTGCAGTGTCTACAAGGAATCGCTAGAGTTTTGATCAGTTTCACTACCATTTTCTTCAGTTTCCAAAAGCAAAATGCGATTAAATTGTCTTTTGACGATGTAGCGACCGCTGCCGGATCTAAACTGCGGCTGATAATGTTTATTTTTTCTCTAATCAAACAACGCTCTGAAACTACTTAACACTCCATTATTTGTTTCTGTTCATGCACTTATCAGTGTTGTTTATATGTCGCTGTATTTTTAGATTGATGTCACCAAATCAGATATGCATATGAAAACAGAGTGATTTCAGTGAAAATAATTATTCTGTTCGAATTTTTATTCGCCGGTTTTTCGCTGAAAACAGCAGCAAAATATATTGGAAACTCAAAGTTTTCCATCGCATTCGCCCGTGAAAACTTGGACTCGTTACTCAAATTTTGCGGAAAAATCTGCAATAGGGTATTTTCACTTTTTTTTCATGTTGATATATGGAAAGCAGTTATGGCAAACATTACACTGATATAATTTTTTTTGCAAAAAAAGTCTCCATAACAATTTTAAAGCGAATTTAAATTCAAATCA